GTGGCTGTATATAAATGTTCCTAATTCTGCGATGACCGCGGACATCCGTGAACTTGAATGTCTTATTCGACAATCTCAACATGTCCGACAGCGATATACTGCTCGGCCCCGTGATAGCTTCGGAAACTATATTAGGATTGTCCATATGCACGAGGTTCTGAACGTCACAAAGTTGCGACAGGTGTTGCACTCTCCAGACGTGTGTGCACTGCACCCAGACCCCCATGCAGCCAGCACTATTCGTATCTGTGATAAACTTGTACCCCCGACAAGGGTACAATTTTGTAACTTTATGGAGGTTGCCTTGAGTGTTACTCCGGGCCTATGTCTTCCTGCTGCTGCTGACTGTCCATGTCGCCGGGTCTTTCCTGATTGCACCGATTTGGTTGACGGCCATGTTGTTTCCGCCAACTATGATCTGATTCCCGATGCTAATCTTCGGCGTCTATTCTATGAGGGCTCTAAATATCGGCTGAATGGGGCAGTAGGGGATGTACTTGAGGCACTGGCTGTTGGTATTGACGAGTATATCGTTGCATACCTTCGGCCGTCATCACGACAATCCTCCGCTGCTACCCTTACGCACCAATTGCATCTTTGGCGTGCCGCAGTTTTGCGCCATTGTGAGTCCAATATGACTACTGCAATACCTTTTCGGCAACCCCGCGCGCTGCGACACGCACATGTGGCTCTGCGTCAGCTTCAAGATTCCTTTGCAATTGTTCCTGTGGACAAGACATCACATAATTTGGCGATTTGTTGCAAGGACTGGTATCGTTTCCATCTTTCTACTCATCTTGACAGTCCTACATATTCCCGGCCTACGGAAACAGTGGCCGATATTCTGAATCGCCATGCACTTTGGAACAATCATTGGAATTACCCTCATGCTGACACATTGCCATATCTCTATTGCGCGCTTAAGGCCCATAAGTCTCCCCCTGCACTCCGAACTATTCTTGGTATCACTTCCCGTAACAACCTTTCTTCTTCCCATATGGCCCAGCGAAATGACCTGCACCCTTCCCAACGAGTCCAGCGTTTGCATCACCGGCCGCCTCACAAGCCTGTTGCTAGCACAACAGCAACTTCGGCTCGTTTGAGTGCGGCACTTCAAGGCGTCATCCGCACTCTTCGCGAAAAAGATAATCAGCTTTTTCAGCGCGAAGGCATTCGACGATGTTGGATTGTTCAGAGCAGTGACGAGGTCATGCTTGACCTAAAAAAGAATAAAGCATCTCTTCGAGGTCTGGTCCCTCATACGGTCGATTTTACTACCGTGTATACTAATCTTCCTCATGAACGCATTCTTAACAATGTTGCTAACGCCGTTGATGAGGCACATGCCTACGCTCTTGCACAGGCACAGCAGCATACACGGACACGTTCATCCAATATTGCTCTTCGTATGGTGGTCCGTGGACCGCGTGCAGGGGAGTGGACAACCGATACGGGACCTGACACTCTCTCTGTGTCGGACATTCTTCAACATCTTCGTTTTATTGTTACTAATACATATTTATATACAGCGGATGGACTTGTGCGTCATCAAGACGTCGGTATCCCTATGGGGACGAATGCTGGTCCTGAGATTGCTAATCTTACACTTCATTGGGATGAGGCGCAGTACGTGGACAACCTGCAACGTGTGGATCCTTCCGCTGCTCGACAATATGCTTTCACTTATCGTTTCATTGATGATGTCCTCACTTTCGGTTGCCTCCCACCATTGCCAGCCTGTTATGGTCTGGAATGGAAGGAGACAACAGATCCTGATGGTTCTTGCACTTTTTTAGGTGCAAAGTTGCAGACACGCACGGATGGATCCCTTCGATTGAGTGTGTATGATAAGACTGTTGCATGGGGTTTCCCTGTTATACGATACCCTAGTGCAACGTCAAACATTCCATCTCATCAGCCTGCAGGCGTGTTCACTGGCCAGCTTACGCGGTTTG